GATTTTTTTATTATTTTACTCTGATACCACTGGGGTCAGCTCCGTGTCAGCCTGCTGGGAGATGGGGAGCAGGAAGAGGTACCACAGCCAGCAGGAGATGAAGTCAGGTCTTGTGGAGCCATGTGAGGACCTGGAGATTGTCCCACCAGAAGGCTGCTGGGCAGGGTGGTAGGATCCAGCAGCTCCCCAGCAAGCCAGTCAAAGTGATTTCAGAAAAGATCTGTCTGCTGGCTGGGTTTGAGGAAAGCTTTCAGGGCTACAAAGGGGATGCATGAGAATCTTACCATGACCAAACCAACCGTGTCCTGGGCTGCATCAGCAGCAGCGTGACCAGCAGATCAAGGGAGAGGATTCTCTCCCTCTGCTCCGCTCTGGTGAGATCCCCCCCTGCAGTCCTGCATCCAGCTCTGGAGCAACAACACAAGAACATCGACTTGTTGGAGTGAGTGCAGAGGAGGCCACAAAGATGCTTTGAGGGCTGGAGCACCTCTGCTGTGGAGACAGGCTGAGAGAGCTGGGCTTGTTCAGCCTGGAGAAGATGGTCTTCAGCCTAGATCCCACATGGACCTTCAAGGGGGTTCTCCATGGCTCCTGTGGAGTTGCTGAGTGTTTTTCATTGCAGTGGTGGGGTCTGAATGGTGCATTTGTGGGACCTGGGGTAATGGGGACCATCCCATCTTACCAGAGACTGTTTTTCTAACACGTGTCAGCACCAAATGATGTTCCTCAATGAAACTATTTCTGAAATGTGGAGATGGTCCTGCTCCTAAGCCCTGAATCAGCCTGCTCAGAAACCTGGGCTGCCAGCACTGGGCTGGGTGCCACTGCTGGGTCAGACAACTGCAAAGCTGCTTGGCTTTGCTGCGTGCATTGCTGAGCTGCTTGTGGAACGTGAGTTTTGGCTTGTGCTCAGCTGCTTTGGCTGTAGACAGCAGTTAAAGGCAGCTCAGTCATCTGCGTAGCAAGGGCAGGAGTCATCTCCTCCTTGACTATCCTCTTGCAAGTTCAGATATGTAAGTGGCTTCTTTGGGGATGAGCTTGAGTATTGGTCAAGTCAAAACAAACCTAATTACAGGGACAGGATAATCTGGGAAAGGTCGCATCTACCTGAATGCTCTAGCTGCTCCTGGTACTTCTTTGAGTCCTCTTGCCTTGTTCTGGTCCAGGACCAGAGAAGGTCTTGATGAGCATCAGTCAGCAACATGTCGTAGAATCAGGGAGTGGTTTGGGTTGCAAGAGACCTTAAAGCTCATCCGGTTCCACCCCCCTGCCACGGGCAGGGACACCTTCCACTAGAGCAGGTTGCTCCAAGCCCCGTCCAACCTGGCCTTGAACACTGCCAGGGATGGGGCAGCCACAGCTTCTCTGGGCACCCTGTGCCAGGGCCTCACCACCCTCACAGGGAAGAACTTCCTCAGATATCAGCTACATCTCCCCTCTGTCAGTTTGAAGTCATTGCCCCTTGTCCTGTCCCTATCTGCCCTTGTCAAAAGCCCTTCTCCAGCTTTCTTGTGGGCCCCTTTAGGCACTGGAAGCTGCTCTAAGATGTCCTTGGAGCCTTCTCTTCTCCAGTCTGAACAGTCCCCAGTCTCCCCCTTCATGTATTGGTGTCGCAGTGCTTCTCTGTGGAGCAAAGAAAGATAAATAATAAATTCTTCTGGCAGGGCTGTGCACTTGCAGCATTACTCTGAGGATACCGAGTATATATTCATGGCGTGTCTGGCTTTCCCAGGTCAGAATCCACCTGTGCTCTCATTGCTCTCAGCTCATGGAGCACAGTGGCTGGTGCTGGGGAGCCTGGTCTGCAGTCAGGCAAAGCCAAACCCAAACTGTGGCATTGCCATGCTGGAGTCTGGTTGGAGTTTATTTCTGACCTGCCAAGTCTTCTCTAAACAAGCTGAATGTGGTTTTTGTCTTGCTTGGTTTCACATAGTATTATGACAGGCACCTCCAATGACTTTTTGTCCTTCCATGCACACCCTGTGGTCCTTTCTTCATTTCGTCATGTCCGCTACTGACAGTAAGGTCACACAGAGCCCCTTTCGGCTTATTATTTCACCCAGTCCTGTATCATGGGCTCCCTTTGTGCAGATACTTCGTCCACTGAAGTCTTCACATTGCTGGCACGCTCAAGGTTGGCTTTGTGATCTGCTCCCAAATGTAGCCCGGTCTTGCAGTGCTGCCAGCAGCTCTCTAGGAGAGTTCTGCCTTTACCCTATGCGAGCATGCCATGCGTACCTTTAGGAACAGGATAACTGCATTTGGGATGCAGCCTGTCTTGGGGATGCGCTGCCAGCCAGCAGCAGCACTGAGTGGCTGTTTAGAGCTTGGGCTCCCTTAATCTCCATGCAGATGTGCTGGGGGAGAATTAGCCTTACAAATTTGAGATAATCCACTCGAGGGGATTAAGAAGCTATTTCTGCTGCTAACGAGAGGGATGCACGTTTGCCTTTGTGTTCAGCTCAAAGGGTTGAATGTATTGAAAGGGGCTGTCCAAGGCTTCAGTGGTTTTTTGATGGATGCAAGTGGTCAGTCTCCGAGTGGAAGCAGGAAATTGAAACTGCCGATGATCAAGCTGGAGTACTGGTGATCTAAATGAAGTTTAAATCCTTCCTTTTCCCAGAAATGACTCTCTTGGGATTTCCAAAGCCTGGTGGGAGCTGGGGCCAGGATGCATGGCTGGCTGCGCAGGCCCACCGAGCCCCCAGCCTGGTGGCACCTGGTCCCTGGCACTCACAAGCACCATGTGCCCTGGGCCTGGGTGGGTTTTATGGGGATACTAGTGGGTCATGTTCCACTCTGGTTCCCCTCCAAACCTATGTGACCGTACACTGGGTGAGCTGAGTCTCCCAAAAATCCTCACTGCAGTCCTGCATCCAGCTCTGGGGCCCCCAACATAAGAGGGATGGGGAGCTGCTGGGAGTGAGTCCAGAGGAGGCCATGAAGATGCTCCAAGGGCTGGAGCACCTCTACTATGGAGACAGGCTGAGAGAGCTGGGTTTGTTCAGCCTGGAGAAGGGAAGGCTCCGGGGACACCTTAGAGCAGCTTCCAGTGCCTAAAGGAGCCCACAAGAAATCCGGAGAGGGGCTTTTGACAAGGGCAGGCAGGGACAGGACAAGAGGGAATGGCTTTAAAATGACAGAGGGGAGATTTAGATGAGATCTGAGGCAGAAGTTCTTCCCTGTGAGGGTGGTGAGGCCCTGACACAGGTTGCCCAGAGAAGCTGTGGCTGCCCCATTCCTGGAAGCTGTCCAGGGCCGGACGGGAGCAACCTGGTCTAGCGGAATGTGTCCCTGCCCATAGCAGGGGTTGGAACTGGATGAGCTTTAAGGTCACTTCCAATCCAAACCATTCTGTGATTCTATGAATTAGTCAAGTCTTAAATGCCTCCTTAAGTGGATGGAATGACCTTTTTCCTCCTGAATTTCAGAGCCATTGGCAGCAGTTCCTGAGAATTGACTACGTTTCCCTAAGGAATGACCATGTTTCCCATCCTCTGCTGGGAGCATGAAATGCTGAGTACTGGCTGGCACAAGGTGTTCATGTCACCCCTTCCCTGCTGCTTCTCCTGATTGCAAGATATAAGTGCTTTTGAGAAGCAAACCACGTGGGAATGAGTTCCTGGCATCTCTTGCCTGTGATGCTCTGTGCTGCCAGTGCCCAGCCTGTTCCCCATCACAGAGATGGACCCATCCTTTCCAAAGAAGCTCTGCTCCCCGTCCTAGTGGCTATTACAGGGCTGCCCAAACTGTTCTGCTGCAGATGCCTCTGGGCCAGAGAGAAGCGCAGGGAGGTGGGCTGGGAAGTTGCATTCAGGGGTTGATATTGTGGGCAGGGAGGGGCTGGGGGAGAAAACAAGCTTTTTTTATGGGTTTTAAGGAGAGATGGGATCCTTCTTTCCCCAGACTTATTAACTAGGCAGCGGGCTGGAGAGGTTCACTTGCATCCCAGGTTGGGAGGAATCTGGTTGTTGCAAGCACCAAGGGGCTGCAGCCTGGCAGGTCTTTGGGTGCTACTTGTTCAACTGACCTCCTTCTTGCTGCAGCTCAACGGGCAGATTTCATCAGGGAAATCCCTGCCTTCACCTGTTTAATTTGATACTCTGCTTGTGAAATGAACAACTTGTTTTCATTAATCCTCTGGGTCTGACTCTTGAGCTCATGTTTGAGCCCTGCAGGGCTCTCTTGAACACTTTGCGCTCTCCTGAAGGGCCTCCTGGGAGGCCTTGGCTCAGGCAGGAAGGTCTTAACCTCATTTCCAAGCTTTGCTTTTCAAATGTGAATCTTAAAGACTAGAAATGCAGAACCTGAAAAAGCTTGACAGCCCTTGGTCTCAGTAGATCATAGAATCATAGACTGGTTTTGGTTGGAAGGAACCTTAAAGCTCATCCAGTTCCAACCCCCTGCCGCAGGCAGGGACACCATCCGCTAGCGTAGGTTGCTCCAAGTCCCGTCCAACGTGGCCTTGAACACTGCCAGGGATGGGGCAGCCACAGCTTCTTTTGGAGAACAAAACAGGTCCAAAACTCAGGAGAAGAACCAGGGTTAAAAACTCCTGTGGGCTGGGGATATTTCTATCCTGGGTGCAAGTCCAATCTGTAGTGGCAAAGGCCAAAGGATGCTGGGGAGTTCCAGGGTGCTTAGGGGTGCAGGAGGCGGGATGATGTGTCTGGGAGCCAGGAATACGATTGAGTTTTGTGAAATGGGCTTAAGTGCCTCACTTTGCCTTGCGCCCAGCCCTGTTGCTGCCAGACCTTGCTATTCTCAACCAACAACTTGATTTTGTCGCTGTTGCTGCGTGTAACAGAAGGAAGCTGTGGTTACTGCACTTCCTGGCCGTGAGCCGGGTTTGCCTGCCCTTCAGCACAGGCTGCAAGTTTGGGAAGCCCCCACGACGAGGATAGCAACTTCTTTCCCCCCAAGGAGGTGCTTTCAGGGAAGCCACCAAAGGCTCTGCTCCAGCACGGTTTGGTTCTGTTCCCCATTAGGTGGGTACTTCAATGGAGAACGAGGTAGGTGCTGGTTTTATGTCGGCTCCCAGAAATGCAGAAGCTGCTGTTCCACATTGCGTCATGGGGGGTGACGCCTTTGTCTTGGGTTTGGGCTCCCCAAATCCTCCTTCAAGGAGATCCTGGGGCTCAGGGGGTGCAGGATGGTCCTGTTGCAGGGTCCTTCCAGCCCTAAAGGGGCTGCTTGCATCCTTGAGGGAAAAGCAAGAGTTTCTTCTGGTTTGCTCTGTATGGATTGGGCCAGATCTGGCAGCCTTGGTGTGGAGAGGTGAACTGAGCTGGAGCTGCCAGACCCAGAGGGGGAAGTGTTTGGGGGACTGTTGTGGCACAACCCTGACCTTGGCAGCAGTTTTCTGCATCTCTCTCCTGTCAATACTGACAATATGCTGGTGGAACAAGACCTTTATGTACCAGCAGCCAAGGTTTGGGGTCGGGCACTCTTGTAGGTGGGTTGGCAGAGCCCTCCATGCACTGGTCTTGTCAAACAGACCTCTTGTGTTCAGGATTTTCTCCTTCCTGGAGCCAGGAAATGTCCCAGCCCCTCAGCAGGATGCCTTCCCTAAAATCTGCAGTGCTTGGTGTTGCTGGTCTTGCTGCTGTAAAGGCAGAGCTGTTTCACGAGGCCAACATCGTGTAGCTTTGTTTTCTGACCCTTTTGTCCTACAAACTCTATTTTTATCTCCCTGGTCCAAGGGACATTTTTCAGGGCCGGGCTGTCCCCGATGTCCTTGTGGTGCCTGGCTCACTCTGGGAGCTGGTAAATACTATTCAACCAGGAGCTTTTCCAGCCCACTTTCCCATCCTAATACAACGGTTTCAAATTCTTTTGGTCTGGCTTTAACCTCTCTTGTTCCTCTAGATAGAATCATAGAATCACAGAGTGGTTTGGGCTGGAAGGGACCTTAGAGATCATCCAGTTCCAGGTTGGTTTCTGGGCTGCAAGCACACACTGCTGGGTCATTGTGAGGTTCTCATAGACCAACGCCCCAAGTCGTGCTCCTCAGGGCTCCTCTCAATCCAGTCTCCCCCAGCCTGTGTTTGTGCTTGGGATTGCCCCAGCCCAGCTGCAGGACCTTGCACATGGCCTTGCTGAACTCCATGAGGTTTGCACTGTCCCACCTTTGCAGCCTGTCCAGGTCCCTCTGGATGGATCCCTTCCCTCCAGCATGTTGACTGCAGCACATAGCTCAGTGTCGTCAGCAAACTTACTGAAGGTGCTCGATCCCACTGCCCATGTCACTGACAAAGGTGTTGAACAGCGCCGGTCCCAACACTGACCCATGCTCGACTACACTACGAAAAGCAACGGGAGAGGCTGAAGCTGCCTGGTGGGAGCAGGTCCCACATGTGCACCTGAGCATTGTCCTCAGCTACTGTGCAGGGAGTAGGTGACATGGTCATGGTGTTCCCCAACCAATTATAATGTCCTGTGGTAAGGCTTGAGCAGTTTAGGTGAAAGGTCTGCAGCAGTTCTTCTTGATGGTGGTTTCTAAGGCAAAGTCCTGCAGTGGATGGTGGCAAGAGATGAGTTGAATTTGCTGGAGGGTGCTGTTCTTTGAGGTTGCAAAGTACTCCCTGCTTGCCTGAGCAGAAGCACTTGGTTTACATTTCATTAATTTGCCTTTGAAGCATCTTTTCTACCTGTGCAGATTGTCCTTCTTCTTGCCTGTGAGAATCAGGAAAGCCAAGATGTGGTTGCCGTGAGGGGTGGGATGCAGAAAGCATCACTGCCATGGGATGGGGCAGCCAGAGCTGAGCATGCATGGGGCATCCGCTGAGGAGCTCTGCCTTTCCCCTCCAGCCCATGCAGTGGCCATTTCACACTGCTGGGAATCCCAAGCCTTGGATCTGCCCACTTCAAAACATCCATTGGAGCTGGTAAACTGAATTGGAGACATCCATGCACACTCCCAGTCATTTATCCATGGAGCAGCCTGGTGAGGAGCTTGGTGGGGATCTAACACGGGTTGGTGACAGGCCCTGGGTGTGCAGCATTCCTGGGCTGTCTGCCCCATGCCAAGGTGGAAGGACGGTGGCAATGCTCCCTCTATAGCTGGGAGCCTGTGTGTGCGTGCTGCCACCAGCTGGACTCGGGTTGGCTCCCACGTTTTTCCAGTCCCAGCACTCAGAGCTTCAGAAACAGCCAAGAGCTGGTTTTCCCAGGGAAGGCCACCTTCTGGGTCACGTATACATGTTTGTGGGTCTCTTTGGCAACTTCAGATAAGTTTTCAGCATCTCTGCCTTTTCCTTTCACAATCCTTCATCGAATTGCTTGCTGCAAATGCTTGGGTGAAATATAAAAAAGCTGTGAGGTGAGGAGGAAGCATGTGGCCATGGCTTGCTGGCTCTTACCACTCCTCATCCGAATAGCTATTTGCATTTGGTTTTCACTGAAAGGTTGGGCATCCTGATTTTAGGGGAAAAACATCCATTTTGGTAGCGGGCACTTGTGTGCTTGTGATATGTCCCAGGAAGAGGGTTTTCAGTGGAAGATCATGCACTTGTAGAGTCAAAGCTCCAAACTCAGCCTGTCTGTGGGGTGGTTGGGGGCTGGTCAAACCAGCCTGTGAGTACAGATTTACGTGCTGGAGGAGCACCAGGCAGTGGGTGCTGCTGGTTTCATAGAATCACAGAATCCTAGAAAGGTTTGGGTTGGAAGGGACCTTAAAGCTCATCCAGTTCCAACCCCCTGTCACGGGCAGGGACACCTTCCACTAGACCAGGTTGCTCCAAGCCCTGTCCAACCTGGCCTTGAACACTGCCAGGGATGGGGCAGCCACAGCTTCTCTGGGCAACCTGTGCCAGGGCCTCACCACCCTCCCAGGGAAGAACTTCTTCCTCAGATCTAATCTAACTCTCCCCTCTGTCATGTTAAAGCCATTCCCCCTCATCCTGTCCCTGCCTGCCCTTGTCATTTCCTTCCATTTCACTGCAGAAACTCCCTCTCTTGCCCTTAATCCCAAGGCCCTGGTGTTTCTTTTTCTCTCCTCAGCCTGGAATAGTGTCTCCTTTCAAACGAGTCTTCCTGAAGGGTGAAAAAGGGCGAGATAAAAAAGCCCAGGAGAAGGTTACAGAGAGGCGGCCTCTGCATACGGTGGTGGTGTCCCTGCCTGACCGCGTCGAACCAGATGTGCTGCTGAATGACTATATCGAGAAAGAAGTGAAGGTAATGTCTGCCTGGCTGGAGTGTGTAGATATATATATATAGACTATATATATAACTATATAGAGCATTACGGTGGCTTCAAGGCATGAGAGATCCTCCATATATAGCAGGTTCTAAAGACGGCCTTTGGCCACCACGCCTTTGCTCTGTGTTGATGGTGTCTTTCTTGCAGTATCTGGTGTGTTCAGGGGTGTTCTTTGTGTGTGCTGTGGTAACGGTCTGGTTCTTCTTTCCCAGTATTTAGGTCAACTCACATCCATCCCAGGGTACCTGAATCCCTCCAGCCGCACAGAGATCCTGCATCTGATTGATAATGCAAAGGTGAGAGCTCAGCATGTTGAGTGACCTACTCTGTGTCACCTCTCCATGCAGCACAGAGTAAGAATAGACTTTGTAGCTGCCCTCAGGCTGGGTCCTAGGCTAATTGGTGTCCTGCATCCTGGCATTACAAATGTGGGAGGGAAGCTCATTACCAGCCCATCATCAAAGAGGAAACAGTTAAGCAAATCAATGTAAATGTTTTATTGTAGAGAGCACACCAGCTCCCAGGGCAGCTGACCCAAAAAACCAGAAAAACAACGCTGACACCAGCCCCGCTGCCTACAACATCAAGCTGGTGTGGAGGGATGGAGAAGATCTCATCCTCAGGGTCCCTATCCATGACATCGCATCTGTTTCCTACATCCGAGATGACTCCTCTCACTTGGTTGTGCTGAAAACAGGTAGGTTGTGGCCAGCACAGGCAGGCTGTGGCCTCATGTTTTGGGGTTGTGAGCCAGAGCCTCACAGCAGCCAGAGTTGTGCTCATGGAGGACAGCAGCCAGCCTGAAAAGAAACAGGACAAAGGCTGTTGGGTGAGAACAGACCAAGGTGTTTGGGTTGGAAAGGACCTCAAGGCTCATCTAATTCCACCCCCCTGTCACGGGCAGGGACACCTTCCACTAGACCAGGTTGCTCCAAGTCCCGTCCAACCTGGCCTTGCACACTGCCAGGGATGGGGCGGGCAGCCACAGCTTCTCTGGGCAACCTGTGCCAGGGCCTCACCACCCTCACAGGGAGGAACTTCTTCCTCACACCTAATCTAAATCTCTCCTCTGACAGTTTAAAGCCATTCCCCCTTGTCCTGTCCCTGCCTACCCTTGTCAAAAGCTCCTCTCCAGCTTTCTTGATGGCCCCTTTAGGCACTGGAAGCTGCTCTAAGGTGTCCCCAGAGCCTTCTCTTCTTCAGGCTGAACAAACCCAGGTCTCTCAGCCTGTCTTCATAGCAGAGATGCTCTAGCCCTTGGAGCATCTTCATGGCCTCCTCTGGACTCGCTCCAACAGCTCCATGTCCCTCGGGTATTGGGGCCCCAGAGCTGGATGCAGGACTGCAGGGGGGGTCTCACCAGAGCAGAGGGGGAGAATCCCCTCCCTCGACCTGCTGATCACGCTGCTGGTGATGCAGCCCAGGACACGGTTGGTTTCTGTGCTGCAAGCGCACACTGCCAGGTCATGGTGAGCTTCTCATCAACCAGCCTCCCCAGGGCTGCTTGCAGTCCAGTCTCCCACAGCCAGGATTTGTGCCTGGAACTTGCTCTGCTCTTCACAACCCTTGTACAGTTGCTGGGAGGATTTCGTCACCATATTGGATGTCTAAATGCCCATGGTGAATAACCAGGATGGTATCACTCCTGACACACCTCACTTGTAATACCTGGAGAGTGCCTTAAATCTGTTCCTGGCAGCTCTGTGCATGCCACACCTGCGTGGTTTTGGGCTGGAGCATTTGGGTAGCACTGAGCAACTTAAAAGGTGTAATGACAGTGACTTAGCGGATTATTAACCCTGTGACAGCAAAAGACAGTAAGCGACTGCTGCTGGATTTCTGAGGCTGGCTAAGCCATGGAATTGAAGCTGGTGGTTTACAAAGTTGTCAAGAACTGGCTTTAAATTAAAGACTTTTCATGAAAGATTTTGGCCCTGTGCAGTGTTCAAGTGCAGGTCCTGGGCTTCTGGGAGCTCTCTCCTCCATGGTGTGTTCTCCTGGCCATGGGATCCTCTGTGCTCCTGTTCTGGGTGCTTTGCTCTCCCCATGGGCACCCTGTTCCGAGGCCAGCTTGCCATATGAGGACTCCTCCTTCTTCTCTCCCTGCCTCAAAGTTTCCATCATGACGTCTCTCTTTCTCAGCTCAGGACCCTGGGATCTCCCCAAGCCAGAGTCTCTGTGCTGAGAGCTCCAAAGCACTTACTTCGGGCTCGCTGTCTGAGAGTGGGGTGGTTCCTGTCGAAGCTTGTTGCTTGGTGGTCCTGGCTACAGAGAACAAAGTAAGACTCGAAACACTCCATTAAAACTGTCCCATGTTGGGTTTGCTTCCATAGTCACTCTCGGATTGCGACCACACCAGGACTGGGACTGGGGGAGGTTTTCTGGCTCTTAGACTGGGGTGGCCACAACTTGTCAGGTGGACAGTGGAGAGCCACCAGCCCCAGGGTGGCCTCATCCTGCTCTCACCAAGTGTTCCCTCTGTTACATGACCAGGTGTTTATCTGGCCATATACTGTGTGATACACATAGGCCCAGTTGCAAGACTGTGGGTTGGGCTTTGCTGGCACACAGCAAAGGAGAAGGTGCTGGCACACCTGAAAGAGAAAACCTGATCCCTGCCCCAGACCTGATTTGGACACAAGACAGGATTGGAAGATGATTTTCCCTTGGTGGTGGTGCCTGCTGCCCAGAGCTTTCACCAGCAGCTGCAAATATGTGAAGAGGACTGAATCCTCCCACAATGGGATTTTGCTAACCAGGGCGTTTTCTTGGTGCTGACCTGGAAATTTGTTTCATCCAGTGTCTGGATCCAGAGATTCTGATCTTGGTCTGTGTGTTCCTGCTTCTATAGCAAGAACCCTTTGCCTTCAGGGTGGAGTTTTGCTTGACTTGTTTTCAGGTCTAATGCTCTCTGGGGTGCCTGCACCAGTTTGGGATGTAGGTTATGTAGCCAAAATCCCAGGGAGCTGTACCGAGGAGTAGGACAGAACATCAG